GGATGCAGCTCGAGAAAAACTTACTCTTCGCAGGATTTATAGACAAGCCAACCGACGCAGCGATCTCATTCGCCAAAGTTTGAAGCTAGGAAGGTGATGTCATCGGAGTAGTAGAGATCAGTCAGCCGGCGTCCGGGTACAAGCTCAACACCGTCCTCTTCAAGTAGGGCACTCCCAAGAATCTAGTTAATGACATAGTTGAAAAGGATGGGTGACAGAACACAGCCTTATCGAACGCCAAATGGGATAGCGAACGATTCTGAGAGATGTTTATGGACCAGAACCCGCGCAGTGGTGGAACGGTAGTATGCCTTAAGCATGGCGATGATGTTTGGTGGTACATCGTCTGTGTGCACAGCCAGTTGCAGACTGCTACATGTCAGAAACCAGTCAAAACGTCATAACCGCTTAGTAACAACAGCAACCACTAGTTGCGACCGTTGCAGAACGAGCTATCTTGGCGAGTGGAAAGTTTCTCGAATTACACCAACTCCAACTCGCAACAAGATCAACCGCACCCAAGAGTTCTAAAAAACCACCACGTATACAAGAGTGTGGTGACTCATTCCGCACATACGACCTCGCACTAAGGCTCGCGGCTGCCAGCGAGTGTCAAGTGGACCTGAACGCCACTGTTGACTCATCACGCCAACACTGCGGTTACGCTGACGGCCGGCCCCCGGTCCGTCTATCGCTCAATATCTGAGTGACTTACGAACACACCCTTTCTCGCGTGCACCCACACTGCGCCCAGCTCGTGCAGTCCAACCAGCGTCCAGAAGCGTTCTGGACCAATCAGCTTACTGAAAAGTTTTTCGGTCCTCGGTCAATTTATACACTGACGAGGACTTGAGAATCCGCTCTGAGCGGGACGCGCGTGACGCCACGGCCATGCCGGACCGATTGGCCACTTTCTCTTAACTCCTGTGTACACAACACACACTTCCTTAAACTCTGGCCTTCCCAAGACTCCTCTATCATCACCTAAAGGAACCATGGGCCTGGAAGATCGAAGCTGTTAGGGTTAACATTTTTAGCCTTAACACCTATAAGTGCACATACACTGGCCGCTTACGCCCGTCCGTCTAGCCAATCCGTCTGACAAATCACTTTTGTTAGGGCTGACTTTACAAAGGCTGCTCCAGACGCTGTAACGATTCCCAAGATCACTTCACTTCAAACAGTCAATTCTTTCCTGTGCATTTCCTCTTCATTCTGTTCCTTCCACTGTTCCTTCCACTCTGGCCTCTTGTGTCTTCTTTCTCCTACGGAACCGAGCCTAAAGATCGCAGTTACTAGGGTTTTAAGTACTCAACCCCCTTCGATAGGAGCATTCGTTTGGAGGAAGCGAATATCTCGAAGGAAGCATACTGAAGGCTCCAACCAACCAGAGTCAGTGTGAAATATCGTGTGCAGAAAAGGAGTTTGTGAGACCGCTAAAAGATGCTGGTCAAGGTGTTTTATAAGCATCACCATAGTAAACACATAACCTTAGAAATCTGTAATACGCGAAATATGGCAAAGAAGAAAATATTTAGAAGACGAAGATGCGATCACTGGAACAAGAGTTTTATTTGCCTGA